ATATGAAACAACATAAGAATATAGCAAATACCCAAAATGTAAAAATGAAACTGAACAATTAAACTAGCTATATCAATGTTGGCCTGAACAAATAGAGAAAAATTATTTTAATGACTTTGTGGAAAAATTATTCTGATTATGTACCCCCACCCAAAAGAAAAGATAAAAGGAAGGAAAGAAGGAAAAAAAGGACGGAGAATCGATGGAAGGAAGGAAGGGAAGGGGGCAGGAAGGAAAGGAGGAAAGGAGGGAAGAAGAGAAAAATAATAAAAGCAAGTAAGGAAGTAAGAAAGGAGAGAGAGAAAAAGGGCAGAGGCAGAGAATGTGCAACTGCATATCTAGGCTAGTGATTGAGTGGGAATTACAGCATTGCTTATATTGTTGTAAACATAAGGAATAAGCACCAGACTCAGCTGCGATCCCTGGATCATGATTGGATAAGTGATGAGTATAAATACGTTTCCCATTTGCTGTCCAAAGTATCTCGCTTTACAGCTGGACCCTAGGTGTACCTGTGTGTCCCAGGAACCAGAGTGAGTGGGCCTCCCCCGTGTCCCAGGAGAGCTGAGAGAACCTTGCTCTCAGGCAGGCTGCTTAGCTGAGGCCTGGAGATGGCAGCTTGGTCTTCAGGAAAGTCCTGGGGGAGGGGTGGGAACAGGTGCAGCTGTGCCAGGGAGCGTGATATTAGGGGGAGATCAGGAGTAAAGCTGTGTTTCTCTTTGTACAGAATACAGTAAATTCAGTGGCAGGAAATGAAAGGGGCATCTCTATCTTGTGTACCACAAGCAGCCACGAGGCAGATTTCAGTGTGGTGTAGGGCAGGTCTGAACCACTGTGCCTGTCCCAGGTGGTACAATAATAGACCCCAGAATCATTTTCAGTTATATTTTGCACTATCAGTTTCGAGCTCCTATGATTGCATAGCTATCCATCTTTCCTGGACTGACTCCTGAATCCAACATAACCCTGGCGTTGTAGGTGTCACAGTACAGAAGACGCTGTGGGGCCTTCCCCTCCTGGTGGAGGTACCAGTGGATGTATCTGGCATTTTCTCCAGGAAGATCACAAGTGATTACAGCAGACGACCCTGTTGTCCCAGTGACTGACTTCATTCTCCCTTCCAAGTTGGAAGATTTCTGACTGGCTGCAACAGGAACAACAGAAAACATAATGAGGCATTCCTTAGTATGGCACCCCTTGCAAAAGAAGAAAACAAAACCCATGAGCCTCTCTGTAGGCAGCACACTCACCAGGAGGCAGGAAAGCTAGAAGCAGAGCCAGGGCCCACCCCATGCCTTCCTCTCCGGGGCCTTGGAAGGAAAGGGGCCAGATGAAAAGGAGCACAAGACCCTCTCAAAACTCAGGTCCCACTCAACAAGGAAGTGATCCCTAGCACAGTGTGGGGAGCTGGTCTTCCTGAGTCACAGGCAGAGAGGGAAGTGAGGGAGGATCTGTCTTAGGGGACTCCCAAACCTTCCTCCCAGAAGGGGTGGTGCCTGGGAGGACCTGCAGAGGAGCTCCTGCCTCTCTGCTCAGGTCTGTTCTCCAGCGCCCTCCTGTGGCAGCTGAGAGCAGGTTCTCTGCAGAAGAGAGCCAGGGGCAAGGAGAGCTCAATGCCTGCAGTGGAGGGAGTGCAGACCTGGGGGAAGCCAGTTCTGGAGTTAACGGGCCCAGACCTTGGAGGGGGCACTGCACAGCAGGCTCACACCCTGCACTGTAGTGTTTCCGCAGGTAAAGCCCCTGTCAAAGCCTCATTCTGCCAGGAATCTTCTGATTAGGGCCCAGAACCACCTTCCTTTTCGAATGCAAGGAAACAGGAGGCAGCACCCAAGGCTACTTTGCTTTATTAACAGGACTGAGGGTGAGGTATGTTGGTGGGTTTGGACTCTCCTCTAAATTAAATGGGTGTGCTGCGGGGGTTGGGGGTGGCAGGTGTCAGGCGGGCCTGCATGGGACCTTGTGGGTGTGGTCTCTTTATTAGAGGATTTTTATGCATTGAAGTACGAATGTGAGTTTTTTGTTTTTTTTTAAGTAGTACAGGATGACGTGTCATGCAATATTTGGAACATACTTAAACTAAAAACTTGGTATTTATCTGAACTTCCACATTTCCGGGGTACTCGATGCTTTATTTGGCAGCCCTACCCTCAGAGCTCAGACTGCTATCTGCGGGGCACCTGGTTTCTCAGATGGAGATCTAGGCAACAAAACGAGTCCAGTAAAACAATCGTGAAAATCCAGTAGTGCACACAGATTTTCACCTCCTCTGTAGCAAATATGTTTAGACACACGTTTAAAATACGCAGAATAAGATGCAGAACTGTGTCCCTCTCGGTTGTTGTGTTGGCCTAGCTCAGAGAATTCAGTTTCTACTGTCATCCCAGCCAGGAATGAGAAAGGCACGCGGCTCCAGGTGGTCTCCATCTGCCTCTGGGCCACACGTGCAGGACATTAGGCTGCCGCAGGAGCAGCTCAAAGCTGAGTTCTCAGAGACCTTGTAGAGGAGGAAAGCTCACCTGCCTTGGAGCCCGACAACACCTTTCTGGACAGAAGTGTCATGGTTTATAAATGAGAAGGGAGAGAACTGAGATCACACTAGAATGCACAGAAAATTCTTACAATAAAAGTATAATGAGAGAAACTTTATCAGAATGTGAAAAGAACTCTAAAGCTAGAGTGCTGAGGAGGGCCAGTACTGGAACTACAGTGAAAAAGTTCATGGAACACAGTGGAAAATGCAGGAAGAGAGCCATGTGTATGTAATATTTTACCATGTGATAAAATGATACGTTAATATCTACAAGGAAATAATTATTTAATAAGACCTCTTTTAGGTATTGACTTACCATGTGGAAACTAACATTCTGGAATTTCTACCTTACCAGTTACAAACATCGATGCAGTTGTAATTTTAAAAAATCATTAGCCTTAAAGAATGATGGACTGCGTAAAATTCTAGGTGAGATTGGCCTCTCTAAGCCTGACATCAAACTAGAGACCCTAGAAAAATTGATAGCTTTTATTGTTTTATTGTTTCAAAATTCAATTCAACAAAAGGTGCCAAATACAAATAATAGCAAATGAGGAAAAATATTTTCAACACATTTGACAAAGAGTCAGTGTCCCTAAAATGGTTTATAATAATTCTTATGAACCAATAAGAAAATATGAATCCCAAAAAGAAGAATAGGCGGAGTATGACAAGACAATTCACAGAAGAAGAACTCTAAATGAACTTTGAAGGTGTAAAATCATGTTAGTACTCCTAAAGATGAGAGAATGCTAATTGAATTAACAAGTCTCATTTTTGAAACCACAGAGGATTGCAATCATTATCAAATTAAATATATGACTTAGGGAACGTCAGTTAACCCCTCAATTTCTTTTGTGTTACAGTCAATGGTACTTTCATCCCTGAATGAAGTTTCTGTGTAGATTAAATATGCATAGCATATCATGTGCTTAGTCCATTAACTACCAGAATGTCAGCTCCCATATTTACCGTCAATAGTATCATTATTATTATTAATAATGTTTTTGAGACATAGTCTTCCTCTGTTGCCCAAACTGGAGTGCAGTAGTATGATCTTAGCTCACTGACCACTTCCACCTTCCAGGCTCAAGAGATTCTCCTGCCTCAGCATCCAAGGTGGATGGGATTACATGTGTGTGCCACTACAGCTGGCTAATTGTTTTTACTTTTAGTAGAGACAGGGTTTCACCACTTTGGCTAAACTGGTCTCAATCTCCTGGCCTCAAGAGATCCTAACGACTCGACTACCCCAATGCTGGAATTCCAGGCATGAGCCACTG